AATTGCAACCTTTCGCACCATTCGACTGTGATGCGGACATCAACATATACCATCCAAAGTGATCAAAAACTGGGGTACGGGTGAAAACGCTTTTGTATCGGGAAGAAACGCTCTTGTCTCGGGAAAAACAAACGCCTTTGTATTGGTTGAAAGCGCCGCCACCAAAATTGCTATGCCACGAAGGAGGAAGGCTGAGCTTCGTTAATAGATGTATTGCATCTTTCCACGCTTACTTACGGGAATACTGTGTCTTCAAGGCAATTATTTTGAAGAAGCGGAACCTTTCCAAAAAAAATGTCATACAAGAAAAATGAGAGGAGGGCTGAGCTTCATTGAAGGATGTATTGCATGTTTCCACACATTATAGCTTTCTTGCAAGGACATTGCTTCTTATTTAGGCATATCTTGTCTTCAAGGCAGATTGTAACCTGTAAGCAGCATGTTCCTTTAACAACAACCTTTCTTTTTTAAGGAATGCAGAATGTTTCACTGGCTACAAGGTAGCAAAAGGTGTTTTTTTCTTGCGGGGGCGGGCACCAGCATATTCTATATAATTATATATATATTATGTTTGTGTAATTTGCAAGCACTCTACATGCATATACGATGTATGCGATTGTATGTGTGTGTGATTGCAGCTGCCACATGATTCCAACGGATACTATCCATGCTGGCGCCCAGGGTCTGCCGCTTCGCCTCCAAACTTGTAGCATTCGTCAGATCCGTGTCACAGGTTGACTCGGCACGCCAGGAAATGCAGCTGTTTCTGTGTGATGGTGAGAACATGTTCCAACACTTTCAGACATGGTCTGCACAGTTCAAATGATTTAGAGTAATTAAGTGAGAATGTCAGTAGGAACATGTAGGAACCGGATGTCAGTAATCAAATACCTTGTCTGTTCAGCGCCACTCAGCATTGCCGGGCAAACAAATACGAGGAGGCACTCCATTGGTCAGTGATATCTGTGGCAACGAAATGGAATCCTCACTCTATAATTACTTTGTGTTTTGGTACAGGGTGGGCCCCGGTAGATAGCCAAGTTGGTTTATAATCAAATTAATTATATATAATTATATCATATATCGTTTCACTGTGTTCTCTGGCAGATATATCCGTAGCGGGATTTATCGACCAACTCATATCCCAAAACTGGTGGGCAGAAACTTCTGACAAGTTGCCCGTGAGGACATGACCTCATCCTTATTGTACCCGTCGTGGTTTTCGTTTGCGGAATCGTGGGCGGATCCATGTAGCTGCGCGAGTTGAAGGACCAAATCTTCCCTCACCTGGCCGGAACCCGTTTGTCTTTTGTGCAAGTCATGTTGGGGGATCAAATATTAGATCGAGTATATAGTGATCGTATATATATATATATAATTATATATGTATGTGTGTATATATATTGGCACTTACAGGGATTGTCATGGTCAGTAAATGTTGGTAATCAATTGATATCCATTATCACTATTAATATTAGGATTCATCGAATCGGAACTGGGATGGGACGACCCCGGCCAGCGAATTCTGATTCGGATGCGGATTGTGGAGAATGCTCCCATCACCTTGAGACAAATCTGCGGCATGTCTGATGAAAAAATAATCTTGAAAAGAGAAAGGGAACCAACAAAAAACAGCTCAAAACATTCTTAAAATCAACAATAATAGAAACTATTAGTCGACTTTTATCTGCATAATGTGCTCTGTGATAACCTAAATGGTCAAATGGGAGACATGCCAGCTGCCATGGCTGCCATGCATGGCCTTGTGGTAGTGATCAAAGATCTCAGGGATCCCTGGCGTCGGTCCCAAGCACATGATATTAGTGGATCCATGTGGGGATGGTTGAAATATGTTGAAATCCGACCCATAGACATTGGATGACACTGGGATTTTTGGGATGATTGAATTTGAATTTCTTGTTGGGTTTAAGTGCTTTGCATATCTTTGCATGATGTTCAATATGCTAATCTGCTCATGGATCTTCTATAGTGGACGTGAACTCTCCCGTTGGCACATGCAGGGCACATGGCACCTCCTCCCTGAATCCGATGGAAAAGCTGATGGATCTGCTTCTGGATCAGCCGCTTCTCTTCATACTCAATCCATTTGGACGAGCAAGGCATTACAATCATCTGGAAGTCATCGTTATCTGGATCATACTCCAAAGAGTTCTGTCGATCTCTCAGCCGCCGATGTTCAAAGTGAGCCTCATTTGCCTGGCAAAAATGACTTCACCATGGCCCGCCTGGACATTGTTTTTTTTTTCAGGGATCTAAATTGAGTGTAGTTTACCGTTGTCCCTCTCTCTTGGAGTCTTGGAGGTTTCCTAAAATGAAGGTAAACCATGGTAAACCTCCAAATCATGCAAAATTGGACCATTTATGACCATTTCAGTATTGAATCCTATTGGTCATGAATCAAAGGATTCATGTCATGCTCTTCCATTCCATCTCAGGATGTGCAGATGTGAGTCATGTTGATGTCTTCATCCTACAGCATCCTTTTTCAGTCACTGTGTTTGCCAACAACGACTGATGCGGTGAGTTGCATGAATAACATAAATTTTGATAATTTTGCAGATCCACTATGATCCATTGGTGTCAAAGTCTTCTTTTTTGAATAGCTGGTTGGTGGTTTCAACCGATCTGAAAAATATTAGTCAGTTGGGATGATTATTCCTAATAATTATATGGAAAATAAAAAAATGCTCCAAACCAACAATCAAATAGTAAAGTGACACTTGCCCCTTTGGGTAGCCATCAAATCTAGCCGCATCCACCATCGCCTCATCGTCAGAGTCGTCGCCAAAGCATGACTCGACCTCGTCCTCGGTGAAGAGTTCCCGCAGTTCTTGGCATATGGTCAGGAACATCTCGTGAGTCAACAAACTCGGAAAATGGCAATGTCCCTTGAGCAAAAGATGCAAAAGGACGATTGTGGACGATTCATTTCGAATTGATTCAAAAACTTGAAACAAGCATGAGCACATCTATGAAAATCAGAATCATTGCACCAGCTGCTCATGCACTGAAAGAAAGGACCAAGTTTGATCAACTTTGGACCGATTGATATCAATGCGCCTGCTCTTCGGAAAGTATGTGAATTCTGGTGAATTCTGCTGTGACCTTTTCTTGGTAGCCACCCCTCAACATGTCAAAGTTTCAGAAAGGCTCTGCTCTCAAACAAATGACTCGCAGTTCAAGTTTCCATTTGAGAAATCTTGAGAACGTGCGCTCAAGTCAGGTGCATGGTCAGGCAATGCTACAATCTTAAATGGCATATATTCTCATCAAAAAAACAACTCATCTCTGCCTCTCGGAGACGCATCTCCTGATGTTGCTCGTGAACATGCCTCCAATGGCATAGAGTCTCAAAAGATGCCGTGCACTGTGACTGGAGAAAAATCCTGGCTACCTACTCCGGCGCTCAAGTCCGACTTTTCAAAAGACCAAGCGATTCAGTTTCCCATGGCAACTGTGAAGACTGATGTGGGAACCAACCCATTGAATAGGAACAAACCCATTGAGCCGGAACTGGCAGTGCATGGAAGTGTGCCATTGGAGCCCAATGAGAGTTCTTCACAATTGCTGGGCTACACGATGCAGTGGTGCAATTGTCCCTACATCTGTGCGCAAAGAATTCATAATGTCAGGGACAATGCTGGCGTCTACCCGAGTCTATCCCTTGATTCCAAATACTACCGTAGTACCAACAAATTGATACTGCGATATGCACTCTTCATCACTGGCATCATATCTGAACAGTGCAAAGAAGTCAGCAACTTATCCCTTCTTCCTATTGCCTAAAACCTCCCCAAATAATTTAATAAAAACTACCCCAGGTTGTTTGTCTTGGGAAATTTGAGATTGGTCAATTTGTTTCTTAATTGATCCACTTCAAGTTAAAAATCAAGGTCCGATTTGAAGGTTCTACCCCCTTAATGATAAAAACTAGTTAACCCCAGGGTGTTCTTGTTTTTCATTTTGGTCCGTCTTATAAAATCGAAAAAATAGCTTCGAAATCTAATTTTGGGCAATCTTTTAATTGTAGAATTTAAGCAGAAATTTAATCGATAATCGATATAGAAACTGAAATTTAAATTATGGTTTTAAATTCAATATTAAGGGAGCACTTCGAAATTCAATTTTGGGCATTATCTAATTAGATTTTAAAAAGGAATGTAATCGATCTTGAAATCGGAAATTTTACTTGGTTAAATTAAGGTGTTTAATTTAATATTAGGGGAGCGCTTCGAAATCCAATTTTGGGAAATGTTAAGTAGAGTTTAAACAGAAACTTCATCCATTTTGAAATCAAACATATTAGGAGAAAGTTTTGAAACCCTATTTTTAGCAATAATCTTGATTAGTTTTGAAAGGAATTTAACTGATGTTGAAATCTTATATGTTAGTTTTCTTGTGTTTTCTTTTTCAACTAACGTTGTATATCTAATATTGGGGGCAAGCTTCTCCCCCGAATGCCAAATACTACCCCTGTAGGTCTTATTATGTGGGGGGGAGGTTTAACATGATTTAAATGCATGAATGTGATGGATGCTTCAGTTGATACGAGTATTCCGAGTATCCTTGTATGATGTTTGAATTTTTGAGCTGTAATCGTTGCATGTTTTCTGAGTGATGTCAGTCATTGGTGCTTTCCATTTCCGATCACAATATCTCGATGCCACTTCGAAGAGTGTGACTTCAGCGGGCCAAATCTCGGCAGTCAGCAGGAGATCTCTTCGTATCCTTCCACAGTGGACCCACAAATTTGGTCATTTCCAGTAATGTGGGTAAAACACATGGCGCATGCAAACTTTTTCCAACCTACCCCTTGCAAAGCAATAGGCAGGTTCCATGGTTTCCTGGGCTGTAGCTAGTTTCAAGTCTACCGAATGCTTCGATACAATTTTGATATACTGTATACTATAACTATGCAATATGCTTTGGTTCCCTTGAATTGAATCTGCTGGAACCAAATCCCGTTCAAGTGTGATGATCGTGAATCGCAACAGCTCTAGATGTTACTGCCATGGTGTTGTTTGCCAAGGTAAGGAGCCCGAAGACTTCGGCATTTGCTGGAATCAACCAGCGCACTTGCTGATGATTTCAAGGGTGAACAACTTTGAGGCACTTTGCACGCCATGACTTTAGACTGTATCAGCTCTAGTATGCTCTGTTTTCTGTGGTCTAGATCAGCTGCCTGCTGGAACAACAACAAGAACAACAACAAGAACAACAACAACAACAACACCTGCTGGACACTTCAACTTACAACCTGCTGTCACCGTTACAGAGCAAGCACCCTCTACACCAGGGTGATGCAGGCCTACCCTTGCTTTTCCACCCACTTTGATTTTTCGATTAATTTACTTATATATATATATATATAAGCAAACAATATCAAACAAAATATCAAATAATATCATATAATATCATATATCAAATCACATGTCATGGTGGAATCTCTCTGCTCTCAATGTGTGTGGTTCGCAGTGTGTTGTTGCATTCTAAGGGCCATGCTATCATGATACCTTAACTCGCAAGAGTAAGTTCCGGTATTCAAGTTCTTCTGCGCAAACTAGGTCATGTCCTAGGTGAGCTTGCTTCTTTCTCTAGGTTGTTGTTTGTACCCATTTGTCCGTTTACTTGCAGCTAGTGTGCCTCTGCGAGATGAACTTACTAAAGCCGAACCTAACCTGCAAATATTCGTTTGGGATGCTTTATTTTATTCGTCTCTTCTCAAAGGCTTGTTGCTTGGCAGTTGCAAACAGTTTTCCTGGGAACAAATGATAGATGTTCAATCAGCAAGGAATATGACAGAAACAAACGGCATATGCCAATGGAGTTGCAAAATAACCCGGTGACCAACTGCTATACATGAATTCTAAAACAACAATTTATGCAATAATTACTGGGCATTTTCTTGCAAATCTTGTCCAGCAATAAGACGAGGCCTTTGAATAAACATTGTGCACACCTAATTAGCCAACAGCGTGAAACATCGTGAAACTAGCGTGAAACTGGCGTGAAACCCCTTTTTTTGGCGTGAACCCCCATTAAATGGCGTGAACGACAGGTACCCAAAAAGGGCAATTGTTTTTTTAAAAAAATTGCGACTTCAATTCTACAATTTCTGCGTTCTGTGCCAAGAATTTGTGGCTGATGAAAGAGTTTAGCAAATTCATGGACGGCTACATACCTAAAGAACCAATTCGAGTAGAACTAGGAGAGCGAGTGTAGAAGCCAAAGGGTGTACGTACATATTCATAGCTTTGTTTTTCGAGGGATGTCTGTACAATGGACAATTGAAGCCACATTGAAGTGTATCTATGTGTGTTATAATGCAAGCTTGTCCCATGTCTACATAATGCTTGCAGTCTTTCTATACCTTCGGCTCACTTCTGAATCAATTCCCTGCGTCTACCAGCAAGACAAGCAAAGAAGAAAGCACATCCGTAACCAGGGAATACTGTCACCATCTTTGACCAATCAAATGGTAGGGCTGCCAGACTCCTAGACCAGCTGAAATTATGTGACAAACGCCTGCCGTAGGTACTTAGTGTATCAGGCTTTGTGCAATATAAGATAATATAAGATAATATAAGTACGAAAGATGCTATTTGCTGACAAAATGGACCACATCGTCTCTGAACTAGCCAAGCTATACCGCATTGCATCGTTTCATTTATTGACTGGGTGCTGGAATAAAAAGCAAGCTTTCGGGAATAGACAAGTGATTTGCCTGATGCTCTGAATTGTTTGTTTTGCTCTTCCTGCCATTGTTTATATTGTTTGAAACATGACTTAGAAAAAGAGTGAGAGAGGCAAGGATAAATGCAAAAAAAAATACACATGATTGGCTGACCTTGTATATGGATATGGTTGGCCAAGTTTGTTTGTGACAGCCCATTTATGGCAATTTCTGACAGACCACATGAAACTTAGAATCGGTACATTCACATGAAATAGGCCAAATATTGCTGCTTGGAGTACGGTGTCATTGGTAAACAACTCGCAACTCTCAACTCTTGTCTCAGCGCACTACCGCGACCCCGGAAAAAAAACAGAGCAAGCGTTAAAATGAAGGAATTTCATTGCAAGTACAGGAACATATTCGCGTGTGGTGCTTGCATGTTGTGATGGAATCTAGCGCACAGTGCAACGCAACGTATTTCACAACATTGCAAGGTCCAAATGTGTTAAACTCAATAATTAACTTGTCTAGAGGATGTAAGTCTTCAAACTATTCAGTACTTCAAACTAGAACGTATTGAAATTTCGTTCCGACCATCCCAAATCCCCAATAGAATAAATTGATGATGTCTACTGGTTTGTGTCTGGAAGTAATGACATTTTCATAGGTGGCTGGATTTTGTTGTAATGGATTACTCATGGTTTGAGAATTATTTAGGTTGCTGTTCAAATATAAAACGAAGGTTTCTGAAGTCTTTGCGGCTGTCTTTCTTACTTTTGGACATCCGCTCTTGATCCGCTCGTGAAAAAGAAAGTGGATTTGCCTCGCCAGTCTTGAGAAAATATGTTTGCTTTGCCCTTTGAACATCACTTCAGCTCTCCCAGTCTGAATAATGGCATTCACTCGAACGAAGCAAAAAAAACTGAGCACACAACAAAATGAAGCACTTGCCAGAATAGCACAGGTTCATAACAAACAAAGGGGGTTAGTAGAACCCCCTTTGCTTCAAAGGTGTTTGGAAAGTCAGGGTATATGTATGTATGTATGTATGTATGTATGTATGTATGTATGTATGTATGTATGTATGTATGTATATATATATGTGTGTGTAATATATATATATACATAATTGTATATATATATATATATGTGCAACAACTAAATATTTGTTACACATGTGTATAATACAGCCACCTGGGATAGATTTGATAATGATCATTGGCTACAAAAAGGTTGCCACTGTCCATCCATGTGAGGGAAAAAATGCTGCACTGGAACTCATGTACTTGGATTGTAAAAACATGCAGAAACATGTAAACACACGAAACTTGACATGCAAAGAGCGAAACCAAAAAGCATCTGAAATAATTCAATGTGTCTGTCCCTCTCGCTCTCTCTCTCTCTCTCTCTCAAGCAGTACTTGTACTATATAATCTATACATATATTATAGATACATTTGTTGTTTAATCATGTGCTATAGACTGCTGTATAGTCTGCATATCAATAAATACAATATATTTACAAATATGTACAATGTTTCTCCTCAACCCATCGCCACCTGAGTTCATTGCTGTCTCCACTGCAGCTTCCACGCGTCCATTTGTGACCTGGCAGGTGTTTTACACAGGTCACTCCTTTCGGCAATTCTATTATACACCGCACCTAAGGTTGGTCCATATTATGGATTGATTCCGAATTAATACCGACCATTTATGGTGATTTTGGGCATGGTGTTGATTTACTATTGATGGTTTAGTTTAAGGATACTAACGGGGTACTATGTGATCTATTTGAAGATTTCCTCGGGAAATAGAGCCTGGGCTGTCATGCTGCATTGTAAGGATTCCGCAAAACTTACGTCAGCAAACACCACATCTCAGCATCAGGTCCCAAGTAAGTCATCTTGTCCATCAGATTCATTGAGCATTCCCATTATTCTGCCTACATCGCTTGACTGTTGGTGGTCGTCTCGCCCTGGTTTTACTTCTTCATGTTAACTGAGTGTTCAAGTGCTCAAACATGCTCAAGCTATCTGAACTGATTACCTTTTGCCCGTTTCCTTCTCCACTATCCACTAATCATCGAACATCTGTGGACGCAGTTGAATTGTGTCATCCTGTGCCCAAGGCCTCTGCTTCATTGCTCGAGGCAAAGCTGCCCTGTCAATTTCTGCAAGATTGTTCATGGGAGGGTGCATCGTGCCGTGACCCGATGAACAGGAGAAACATGGAGAAACACACACTGGCAAAATAGTGACTTCTTGAATTTCCTGGGAATTTGGGCATTTGAATCTGCCCGGCACATCTTGGCACTGCCAAGGGCCAACTCCAGGCCTTGAAAGCCGCAGAGCTAGGAGACGCAGGAGAGCTAGGAGAGCCAAGTGATACGAGGTCTGTCTCGCATGTGGACTGAGCGGCAGCACCGACAAGGGTTTAAACTTGCACAGGAGCAGAGCTGCAGATGCTGTAATTAGAGCCGAGCAAATACCAACCAAAAGGACAGGAGAGCATTCCTTTTGAAATAGTGGTAAATCTTTCTATAGAATAATTCTGGTAAAATACGTTTTTTGGGCCACTACGAACGTTGCAAAACAATTCCGCTTGTGAGAGCTGCTTGCACTTTGGGTCCTCACCACGAAGTGAGTCTGCTTTCATCAAAATAAACCCTCCAAAGTCATTGGAGTACTCACGGGAATCACACTTTCCCTGAAATATCTCAAGAAGATGAGTTCTTTTATGTTCTTTTTATGATTGTTATGCCCTTGCCCATCCTTGCCCTCACCTCAAATCATCTCAGTCGTCCAAGGGGCTAATCGCGACATGCTGCGCATCCTGCATGGGGCCAGCGAGTCCACCTTTGGGAACTTGCTCACGAAGCGGTCACCGGTTGCCGCCATCGACAGTTTCTCCAGCCACGTCTCCTGCACCTTAGCCACCACGGAAACAGCGGCACCAGCCCGACCCCTGCGGCCCAAAGCCAAGCCTTCTGGTAGTGCTCAATGATCTCAGGTTCGCCTCTCTTTTTTGACCATGAATCGTTAGTTGACAGCATCCAACTGCTACCCAGACCATATTTATAACTATATTTAATTATATTTATCTCTCTCTCCCTCTCTTTCTCTCTCCCTCTCTCTGTCTCTCTGTCCCTCTCGCCCTCTCTCCATGGACCCGCCATGGTATGAGACCCCTGGCATTCTCCCAAAAAAAACGATCAAATTCCCGAAATGTCCGGCCGTGTCCGGCCTCCTAAATCAATTCGATGCTGAAGTTTCGCGATCTGCTCCATGGTGAGTTGCTTTTCTTCCAGCTCGATGACCTCTGGCAACTCAGGCGTCACTACCATCTGGTAGTCATCGCTGTCCGGGTCATAGGTTTGGGAGATCTGCCGCTGTCGTGGGCGACCCCTCCTCGAAGACATCCTCCAAACAAGGCAATTTTTTGGGCATCACAGCCTATACAGCCTGCAACTTGGTAATGTGGGTAACCCAATGCCATAAAGCTACCATTTTGGGGGGTGGTTGATACTGCCTTTATGGTGGTTTTGGGGATGGTTTACTATTAGTCTTAACCTTTAGATTGTGATGATTTGAAGGGTCTGAAGATCAGAACCTCTCCAAAGACGCACACGCAGCTAGGTCTAATGGGTTCATTGATAGGGCAAGTATTCTCAAGTAGTGAACATGCAACTCTAAAGCCCTGTTCTGAACCCTCACAATGTAAAGCTACAGTAATGAAGATGACTAAACTTGTGACTAAGCTGATTGGATTCTCCATGGCTGTCCTTGACCATTGGGTTTTGCATGATTTGGAGGGCGGCCATTGGAATACCAGTGGTTTTTTTGAGTTTCCCACCTCATCTGAGAAGTCTGAGAGGCACTCATCATCATGATTCACCAGCTCACGCAGCCCTTGGCAAAGACCCAAGAGCATCCTGGGTCCCAGATTGGTCCCAGGGGAAAAAACCGCTTGGCAGCACTTAAGCCTGAACCAAAAGGCCGCAGTATACCTGATCATTTGTTTGATAATGATATAACCATAGATTTTTTTTCGTGTCGGGAAGTTTATGGAAGTTTCACTGACTTTGCGTTGTTCAAGGCCAACGGATTGGTAATATAGATCGATGATACATTTCTGGAATCTATATGGAATCTATCCATACGAATCTGAGCAGGAATTGTTTGGACAAACCGCATTAGCTGCTGAGCCTTCACACAAGCTCCTGTGTCAAGCGAACATCACGACCAGTGTGACTTTGTGACTCGACATCATTTGTCCTCAGTGCGGGTCTTTGTCCACACACGGACCAGCTGACCAGTTTCCGGTCCAGAGATCAAATAAAATTCCAATCCGCCGAGTCCTATTGCGGAGAAGGGCGGGCAAGAAATTACCATACATGCATGGCCCGGGTCCAAATCCTTGCGTGCTTACTAGCAGGTTTGCTACAGCTTGTGCTCATCATTCTCCCATTGAATCGCGTTGATTCATCTATTTTGCAACTATGCTCCAAGGACATGCTGCACGGCGCTTGAGTCAAGAATACCCTGCATTGCCAAATAAAGTATTCGTAAAAATACGTAAAAATCAGACTTGTAGGATGTGGCTGACCAAGAGTATTTGCAGGGCCAGTGCCACTGTCACATTCTTGTGACAATTCCATCAAAAGCTGGATCTCACCCATGTACAGTAGTTGAATGCATGGGGATCTAGCTGCACCTAGCTACTCAGGACAACGCTCTGGGACAGAGATGGCTCAATCAGCATCAGTTTCGACAAGTGTATTCGCAATCATCAAATAAGCATGACGATCAACAATCAGTCTCTGGTGAGCCACACTCTCTGGTTTCTCAGAGATACTCAGAGATGCTCAGAAGGTCTTGAGCTCTCAAATGCTGAAGACTACCTGCCCAACGGGGAGACAAAGCAATCCATAACAATTTCCCATTGGCTCTTGAGCTCAATAGTAACACACAACTCTCAACTGACTCAACTGGATGACGAAAAACAGCGCACCACGGAATGTCTGACAGTCTCATCCTCGCTTGGCCACTCATCTGGTTCCTCTGGCTCCTGGTTCACATGGAGTGAAGGCCAAACCTCATACAATATAGTAACCTATACAATATATTAAGAGATGCCTATGGTGCCCATGATGCTGATGGTGGTGAATTGGTGATAGCATTGCTGCAGCTCGAACTTCTCAACTTGAATTCTCAAAACTCTTTTCTACAGCAAAACAAGTGCCACCTATGCTTCTGTGTCAGGAATGCACTACGTATCATCACATACAAGGAACTTGTGAAGGTATGTTTGGAGACTTGTTGACCGAACCTCTCTCTTTGAGTGAATCTTTTGAGATTCTTTAAGTGATAAATGCTATACATACCTATATATATAATTAAATATATATCTATATCTATATTATTTACAGTGTAGTACACACATATGTATATATATATATATGTTAATGTATTTTATATATATATAGCAAAGTAAGCGTGTGTATGTGTGCACGTGTTTGATTGTGTGTGTGTTGCTCTAATCCATCCAGTATGTGTAATTTCAACCCCAAATTAATTTACCCTGTCGAAAATTGGGGGGTCATCCACAGAGTGATAATTTATTGATAAATGGCTGCAAAAATGATGCGACACTAATTAAACAGAGTATAGGATATATATGACCATAGTTCATCCCTTCCCCATTCGACTAAACCTCCCCCAGATATTGAGAATCAGGGCTTGGTGTTGTTACAGTAATTGGGTCCATTAAAAAGCAATAGGATACCACCATACCCAAAAATGTGATTCAACCCCCTAGTAATAAAAACGCGTTTACCTTGGGGTGTTTTTTTTAAATAAGGGCCCGCCTTTTTATTTTCTTAAGATTAAGGTTCTGATTCTTAGGGAAAGCTTCGAAATCTATTTTTTTGGCTTTAATATCTGTATTGATCTTTAAAAAAAATATGAAAGGTTTTGTCTTCGGAAATTTAGTTCTTCATTAAGGTAAAGGGGAAAGCTTCAAAAGCCTATTTTTGGCTATACAGACTCTAGCAACGAGTTTGATCGATTTGAGATTTGAAAAATAGCTGGTTTTTTTTTCATTCAGTCTTCGACTTTATTAATTATTAGGGGGAAGCTTGATCCTCCCCCCCACCTGTTTCTTACTTGGGGGATTTAGTATTAGGGGAAAAGGATTCATACCTATAAAATACCGGTTATACCCGCTATACATCGTTATAATTCGTTATACCCCCAACTTATGAGGAGTATCACCATTGGCACTAGTCATGAAGATCATTAAGCGCCACACACCAAAGCGGAGTGTCCTTCTCAATGAGCCACGCTAGGTCGGTGTCACAAGTGGACTCAGTCGAATCATCGCACCAAAGATATCGATGGGAAAGCATTGGGGAGAATTCTGGGGGTTTAACATGTTTTAACATGTTTCAGCATGGTTTTGCTGATTTCACCATAGTTGACCAAGGGAATCCAAGGGACCAAGAAAACGCGGAATCTAGTCAACCTTGAACCTTCGTTACTTATTTGGTTGGTTTTAGGGAAAGTTGACGGGAGGAAAACATGATCACGTGTGATTTTATCCGCTAAATGGCTAAATGCATCTAAATGCAAGGGATTTGGTGGAGGATTCCCCTTCATCCACCTCTTGGATTCGAGAAGCTGCGTCACTTAAATTCAAGCCAAGTTACTTTTCGAGACAAGCTTGACAAATCTTTCTTGCCGTCACTGCTTGTCATGAACAACTTTAGCATCATGTCTTCTTTGACCTGTCAAGAGTGCTGAAACTGAGACTTGAAGGTCAGAACTGGGGCCAAGTAGCAAGGAGTCTGGTCATGCCACTCCCACAATCCCCTCCAGGATCATGCGACGGCATGCCAACTCTCGACATGTCTGTGGCGTTTTGGGGCTTGTTCTGCTTCTGGTTGCAGTGGAGCTTGTGCTTGTGCATACACTAAATAATTAGACATAAGAGGAACTCCGAGATCGTGCAACAGAAGGATCGAAAACCGCAAAAAAAATGCTTCATCGAAAGAGATGTTTTTTCCTTGCCATACCCTGCTCCGACTCAAAAAGTCGGCTAACCGAAAGAGAATGGAAAGGCAAATCACGTGTCAAACATTGAAAGAAAGCCGCAGCACCAAGGACTAGGTTGAAAACGGAATATATTATATATATAATTTAGGCCGTGGGTTGGCCTCTTTGTCTGTTCAAAGCTAAATATGCTAGAAACTATTTACTAAAATGGGAATTTTATACAGAAACTGTTTAGAACTATTTGCGCTATTTACAAAATATACGGAAACTATTTACAAAATATACAGAAACTATTTACAAAATATACAGAAACTATTTACACAAATTACAGGAAGATTTACTAAACATATGCAAACTACCCACTAAAATTCACAAAATAATCATACTGCAATCATATCAAGATCATGGCAAGGTAAGATGTTTGGCTGATGCTGTGGTGGACAAGGCTTTCAGAATGTTGCCTTGACTTGAGTGTACCCGTGAAAGGATTGAATTGGAATGGTGTGATCATAATTTTATTCATCAATATCCATGGCACCCCAACAACAAAATGCAGCAGCAGCACCAACTTAATTTTCCTGTTTTTTGATTCCGACCCATTGTGCCCTCATGTTTGCGTCAAACGAACGAAACAAGGCAAAGGTTTCATGTGCCATTTGGATCCATTTGGTTTAACCCTAGGCATAATTCAAAGTAATTGTAGTAATGATCCATATGCCCATGCAGGATACAAGGCTGATATTCCAACATTTGAACAATTGAATACCCAATAGTTGGTATCTCATTGAAATGCGTAACACTACTTGTCTTTAAATCCGTGTGATCGTAAATTATATGATTGAAATTTCAATCAAAAGTGCACAATTATTTACGTGTTGTATTTGTATGTGAGATATACATCTGATGCTATAGGATGAAAAATGGATAATATTACATATATAAATATATATATATATTAATATAACACTAAATATGTGTGAATATGTATGTTGCTAGTGATTAGTTTCCAACGGTTGGAAGCGGTTCGAGACTATTCACTAGATAGTAGTTTTGAACGGTTCGAAACGGTTCGAAACTATTTCTTACCCAACAAAACGGTAGCAAAGTTTAGAAGCGGTTTCGAACGGTTTCGAACTATTTGAAACTATTTGGAAAAAATGTGGGGTAGCAATCGTTTTGGGGTAATGAATAGCTTCGAACGGTTCGAAACGGTTTGAAACTATTTACTAGAAAATAGTTTTGAACGGTGCGAAACGGTTTCGAACCAATCACTAGGAGCCGTTTTCTGAAACATATCTTTAATCTCTTTCCCATTCTCTCTCCATCTGCATATAATGGATGTATAATGATATATATATATATACATTATAATATATATATATATTACTTGTGTTTTTGTTGTTTCACAGACAGGAACACTGTCATGTATATTGACAGCAGTATGTTCATATCCGACCTGAATCTGCTAAATGTTGGCTCGATTTTTGCGTTTGTTCTATGCAGATTCTTGTTCATTTTGTTCTTGAACCATCGGTAATGTGTGCAATATAAAACAGTTCCCTGTTGACTCCTTTGACTCTCCCGGGAATTTGCTGTTACGCTTCCCTTTCTGGGTATTTTTTTTTTATTCCCGAAAATTTAGTAAATAGTTCCGGAAAATTTAGTAAATAGTTCCGGAAAATTTAGTAAATAGTTCCGGAAAATTTAGTAAATAGTTCCGGAAAATTAGTAAATAGTTCCGGTAAATTTAGTAAATAGTTTCCCTTCATAAAATGAAGGCAAACGGGTGGAGTACTGCATCGGCTGGCTCGCGCAGAGACATCGGCTGGCTCCCGCGGAGACATCGGCTGGCTCCCGCGGTGAAAGTAAAAGTACCCCAAAGGAACACATCCGGACCGTTTTTGGTGTCACATCCCAGGCCTGCAGCCCGCGGTGGTTTTCCCCAGTTCAACGAACAAGCAAGGACAACACAGCATGATATGCAGGAGTGCTCCACATTTGC